AGATAGATAGATAGATAGATAGATAGATAGATAGATAGATAGATAGATAGATAGATAGAAAGATAGAAAGATAGAGACAGAGATGGTAGATAGATGATATATAATAAAGAGATGATAGCTACATAACTAGATAAGTAGATAGCTAGGTAGCTAGGTAGCTAGCGATAGATAGATAGATAGATAGATAGATAGATAGATAGATAGATAGATAGATAGATAGGTAGGTAGGTAGGTAGGTAGGTAGGTAGGTAGGTAGGTAGGCAGGCAGGCAGGCAGACAGACAGACAGACAGACAGACAGACTATATATGAGAGAGATGGACATGAACAACAACAACAACAACAACAACAACAACAATAATAATAATAATAATAATAATAATAATAATAATGAGTAGGAAGGGACCTTGGAGGTCTTCTAGTCCAACCCCCTGCTTAGGCAGGAAACCCTATACCATTTCAGACAAGTGACTGTCCAGTCTCTTCATTTGATTGAAGCTATTATCTTGATTAGTTTGTGATTGCCACACGAAAAAGCTGCAATTCTTCGGTGGCATTAGACAGACCACAAATAAATTAAAAATGGTAGCAAGCTGTGTGGGTTTGTTCCAATATAAAAAAAAAGTTTGAGGGTCATCTTACAATAGAGCATTATATATGTTTGGTGGACCAGAATCTATTTCATTTCCTACCAGAAAGGATTGATTCATTGATTGTTGCACTGATGACGTTCCCTAGTTGGGCCATGAAACGTCTGCCAGCTCAACCACCAAGCTCAGAGAGCACCAAGGACCCCACAGTTCAAACTTTTATTGGTCTCCCATTATTACTTGTGAGGGGGGGGGAACTTCTCTTCATTCTGCATTTTAGAAATTAAGCACCGAGTGAAAATGTTTGCAATTATTCTTACTACAATATCAAAACTAAATGATATGACTTCCACTAAATGGCATGGTGTTAAGATCCCTAGATCTCGTTAATGGATTTATTGCAAGCTCTTCCCTTTTGCATTTGCTGAAATCCTATGCATAATTAATCAAGAGGGAGCATGTTTTGAATTCAGAAGCAACTTCATTTAAGTTTCTCTGTGTATGTGTGAGTGTGTGTGTGTGTGTGTGTTTGTGTGTAGAAAGAGAGAAGGGAGGACCAGAGGCAGGCAGAGCGTTATACACCGTCCATGCCTCTAAATTAGATCTTCTACCATTTAATGACATCTAAAAATTTGGGTTTACCTGACAGTCAAATTAGATTATTATTTTTTTAATCCTTTCATGACACCCCAAAGTTTAGATTTACCTGGCAATCTTCAGAGTCTTCTTCAGGAGTACTTGGAAGGATGCATCGCTTGGGGGGCAACCTCAGTTCGTACGACATGATGCTCCACCTGAAAAATTCCAAAATTCAAAATTCAGAGAAGCAGGACGGATTCGCGGAGAAGGGATGTCGATCCCGGGAAGATCTGACGATCCTCAACAAAACTTAAAATGGACTCCAGATTGATTGAAAGAGAAAACGATAGACAGATGGAATACATGGATAGCCAGATGGATGTTTAATTGATTGAAAGAGAAGATGATAGATGGATGGATGGATGGATGGATGGATGGATAGAGATAGATAGATAGATAGATAGATAGATAGATAGAGAGAGAGAGAGAGAGAGAGAGAGAGAGAGAGAGAGAGAGAGAAAGAGAGACAGAGAGAGATAAACAGACAGAGATAGAGATAGATAGATAGACAGAGAGAGAGAGAGAGAGAGAGAGAGAGAGAAAGAAAGAGAAAGATAGATAGATAGATATATAGAGAGATAGATAAATAGATAGAGATAGATAGATAGATAGACAGAGAGAGAGAGAGAGATAAAGAGATAGATAGATAGATAGATAGATAGATAGATAGATAGAGAGAGAGAGAGAGAGAGAGAGAGAGAGAGAGAGAGAGATGTTAGAGGACAGAAAGGCCTGGAGGAACGTTGTCCATGGGGTCACGATGGGTCGGACACAACTTTGCAACTAACAACAAAACAAAGCGAAAACGAGGAAGGAGCTTCCTTACCTGTCTAACATTTTGGTGCTGGCTCGTTCCAACTTTTCTAAGATTTGAGGCAGTTGTGTGTCATCGTCGCAGGAACCCCCCCAGCCGAGGACCCGGGCAAGGTCATTTCCCGTCCCAAGTGGCAACACTCCCAAATGACACTGAAAGGAAGACAAAAATTTGAGATTTGGGATTCGCTTTTTTGAGAGTCCGTTTGCTCTAGGCGCCAGGCTAGAAAGCAGGAGGCCATGAGTTCGAGTCTTGCCTTAGCCATGAAAGCCCACTGGGTGAGTTAGGACGAATCACCAGGAGACTGGGAGTTCTAGTGCCACCTTCCCTATGAAAGCCAGATGGGTGACTTAGGACCAATCACCAGGAAACTGGGAGTTCTAGTCCCGCCTTAGCCATGAAAGGCAGTTGGGTGACTTTGGGCCAGTCCCTCTCTCTCTCTCATTCCAACCCACTTCACAGGAGGAGGAAAGTTGTGTTTGGGCATGCTAGGTATTCAGTTTTACCTTCAGTTATGTGTAAAAATAATAACGATGGGAAATAAAATAAAATAATAATAAAATAATAATAAAATAAAATAAAATAAAATAAAATAAAATAAAATAAAATAAAATAAAATAAAATAATAAAATATAATAAAATAATAAAATAATAAAATAAAATAAAATAAAATAAAATAAAATAAAATAAAATAATAAAATAAAA